GTAATAAATAAAATATAATATAAAATTTTGGATCATATTAAAAATCGTATAAAATAAGGCAACAAAAATGTTTAAAATGAGTGGATGAGGAAAATAACTCTTGCTTGGGCTGTTTCGTCGTGGCTTAGGGGAAAGCCATATATCGGAAGTAAGGGGCACTTTTGAAGTTTCTAGTTAATTCAGTTTCCCCAAGATGACATTCAAGCTTCCAATGTACTGATTCTTTACTCAAAACCATATATACGGTTAGGGTTCTTTAATTCTTGCATTTTACTTCATCGTCTCGTGATTCGATTCTCGATTGTTGCTCTCGTACGGTCAGGGTTCTCTTCTCTTCCACTTTTGCTCAAATCTTTTCTTGGTTAAAGGTTATCATTATGCGTTATTCATCTCGATTTGTCATGGCTCGATTTTGTTTACCTACTTGTTTATCTAAAATTTCTCCATCTCACTTATCTGTTAATCTTCTATTATGGTCAGAGGCCTATTTTGTAGGATCAAAAGAGAACCAAACCGAGGTCTCTATTCTCCATTTTCGGTAGGATTTTATTGGTTTCTTTCTTTCTCATACTTTTGGGAATTTCTCCTGATTTAAGATTTCTTACATAGTTTAGTAATTGTTGATCTTTGATTATACATTAAAGATGGAAACCCTCAAATCTCAGGGTCTGTTTCTTTTTTAGTTTAAGATGTAGAAGATGAAGAGGAGCAAAAATAGTTCAAAAATGTGCACCGTTAGTACCATATTGAGGGAGTTGTTAAGTTGGGTTTCCTCTATTTTTGGTAGATAATAGTCAAGGATTTTGCCAGAGTATTGCATATGTTAACAAAGTCTCAAGATTTAAATTTATAACTATAATGAGTCATTTTTTAGTAGAATTTGTTCTGTAAATCTTTAGTTCGTCCTCTGTTAAAGGATTTGATAAGATATTTTGATTGTTGGGATCAAGATTGCTTAGTCTTTATGCGCTTTCCACTGTTGCCGACATATCTAGATTCATCATGCCAATTGATCTAGTTTGACAATTTCTTTATGCTCTTTCCATTGTAGGCAGTATATCTAGATTCAACATTTTCGCTTGTTTGTTCTCATTTTCTGTTAAGTTTGTTTCATCTACAGAGGTTTTTGAACTTCCTCGAGAAATCTTTTATGTACTACTTCCTGAAGCAAATCCTTTGCATTGAAAACATAATAAATTGCTCTTGATGCATGCTGAATATATCTGTTTGTATCATGTTTCTTGTTTTTTTCCCTTTATATTTCTATTCTACCACTTAATATGTTGCTATAATTTATTATTTCTTGTAGTTTTATCTTTATGGTCATGGACCAAAGACACATCATATTTTCCTCTGGCTTTACAAATGTTCCCTTTGGTTACTTAAAACATCTCCAACAACTTCTTTAAAATGAGGACTTTGAACCAATATTTTGCTTCAATAGTTTCTCCAAAATAGAGAAAGTATGAGAAAGAATGATTTTTTCTCCAAAAAAATGATTACCAAGTAAGACCACCAATAAAAAACTTTGAAATTAAATATTTAGAGAGAGAAATAATATTCTCATGAAATATTTTAATATCATAATCGATGTTGGATTCTTAAAAATGGAGAATCTGTTAGAGATAAATGTAACATTTTATAGACTTCCATTTTTGGTCCCCCATTTTAGGGAATCTGTTGGAGATGCTCTTATTAACAAGTATAAACTAACTAAATTTCAATTTAAAAACTGAAGACTAATTTCTTTTAACAATAAAAGATATAGTAGAGTTAGCTGAAATTTCTAAAGGCTTTCGTGAGCATAGATGTTTTCAGAAACTTTAACGATCTAATTCATATGGAGGAGTTTGTGATGAAATATCTAACTAATTAACTATATTATTAGGAGGTACAAAGTTAAATGAAGCAGGATGAACAAGTTACAAGAGAAAAATCACTTTCTTCCTTGCACTTTATAGATCAACTAGGTCAGAGGCAGAAGGTCATCCTTGGAACTGATTTGCTTTATGTCTATACCACTTTATTTTGAGCAGACCATGGGAAGTGTAACAGTCTTGGATTTTTTTTATATAAATGTTTAGAGAATATGTTAAAGTATTGCCTTGTGTATGAACAGGTTTCTGTTCGTGTTGCTGTATGATTGTTTCTCAGTTATATTCGTTGGCTATTAAAATAGTAGAAAGAGAGAATTTTGTATATCATCCCAACAAATTACAACCCTTTATGCACACAACATTGATTAGGAGCTTTAGCTTTTAAATACTCTTACCAGGGACGGACCCAGATTTGTTTTTCAAACGGTGGCACCATTTAATTATAAGAAAAAAGTATAGGGAAAAATTTCATACAATGGCACCGGTTGACTATAAGAAACAAATATACGGAATTGCTTTCAATCGGTGACACTATTTGACTAAGAAAATGACACTAACAAGATTTGAATTTGGGTCTTGAGTGGAATAAAAATCTTGCAAACCAACACTACCAAATAAAATTTGTTCTCATTGTAATTTCAAAATACATACGGTGACACACAACAGATAAAAACGGTTGCACCTTTCACGAACCTAAATTTTTTTACCCTTCGACGAAGAAATAATACGATGGCACGTGCCATCGTAGCCACCATGGTAGGTTCGCCCATGACTTTTACATAAAAAAAAACTCTCACGTGGATGTATTAAAAATCTCATCTCCCTCAGATTCCAAAACAAGCGTTGTTAAAACGCTTGTGGTCATTGTTGTTTACCTGTGATAGCTTCATGTCATTCATGGTTATACGAATATAGTTAATAAAATTAAAATCAGAAAGTTGATTGAAAATTACATCAATTTCTCTCTCTAAAAAACTCATTGAAAGAAACACATATACACATATGGATATAAATTTTGACTTTAAAAAATTGATGTTGACTTCAATATAAAAAATTGCCGACAAGATTTTTTAAAAATATATAAAATAATTTTTTTAACTTAAAAGAACATAAAACTAATAACATAATTATTAAATTTGAATAAACTGCAATTTATTTTCTGTACTTTTGAAATTATAATATGATATCATGGTTTGTAAAAATGTCTGGATTTAATTCATCTCTAATGATCGTTAAAAATTTCCGTTAAAATAAGACGTTTTTGTTATTTTATTGATTTTTTTATCTTTTACTAATCAAATCAATTTTATGATTTTGGTTAATATAGTTTTTGATTGGTAAAATAATTCTTTTATAAAATACGAAATTTAAAGATATTTTTTAATAATTATTAAAAAAAATTATAATTATCTTGTAATTCAAAAGAGAAATGATTATAAAATTGTTGGAGACCCCACAAAAACAAAGAGGAAGGTCGTTAGGAAGAAATATGACATCTGCTGGTGTGTTGTTAGCTGTCTTTATGAAATGACTATTGTAGCCCTTTGCGTGAATTTATAATGGGACACGTATACTAATTTGGCCGGTCAATCATATTCATGTCCCACTAATACTATCCTTTTTAATGATGAGAAAATTATTTAAATAATTATTATCAGATTTTTTTTATCTATTTTCTTAAACATCAAATGTTAATCTAAATTATTATGTTAATTTTATAAACCTTTTAAATCAATCATAATCCATCTTAGTGTTAGATTCTTTACTATCTAAGAATTCAATATTAAGGATATTACATCGTGTATCTTAGTGTATTTTGGATATTAGATCGTGTATCTTAGTGTATTTTGGGTATTAGATCGTATATCTTAGTGTATTTTGGGTATTAGATCGTGTATCTTAGGGTGCGTTTGGTTTGCAGTAATGGAATGGAATTGGGGGGATTTGGATTTAAAATCCATTCCAATCCTATGTTTAGTTTGTCAAATTGTCAGGATTTGAAAATCCATTAAACATGGGATTTGGAAATCCTTTGCAAAGGGGTGGATTTGAAATTCAAATCCTAGGCGCTTCCTCCCATCGCTTCCTCCCGCTTCACTTCACCTCACTTCCCTCCCATCTCTTCCTCCCGCTTCATTTCAAATCCAATCCAAATCCTGCAAACCAAACACAGGAATGAATTTTAAATCTAATCCAATCCAAATCTCTCCAAATTCAAATCCCTCCAAATCCAAATCCCTCCTGCAAATCCAAATCTCTCAGAAATATTCCTGCAAACTAAACGCTCCCTTAGTGTATTTTGGGTATTAGATCGTGTATCTTAGTGTATTTTGGGTATCACATGGATATGGTGTTTGTTAGAGGCCAGAGGTAGGAGAGAGAAAGGAGAGATAAAAAATTTAAAATATCTAAAATGCTATTTAATTATAATTTTAAGTCAAATTATCAAAAATATTAGTTTCCTAATTTATCCATTGATTTGTGGTTGAGATTGGATCTCACAGTTATCACCAACTAATCAGTTATCCTTTGAATTGTACCCTATATCTATACCACCTTATTAACCAGATTTAAGAAAAGTCTTAAAACAATCTTAAATGCATAAGGTACCATCTTGTGATGCACAAAGTCTTAGGTGCCATTTACCAAATGCTTACCCGAGTAAGCGCTTACCAAGTCACTTTACTTTACTGAATGAATATGGCAAGGACTAAAACTCTTACCCAGTAAGAGCTAAGACAAGAATAGAGAGTCTTACCCGGTAAGTGAGAACGATGACTCTTACTATGGTTAGCGCTTACCGGGATAAATTGTTGCATATGATGCGTTTTAGTGAATAAAATCTTACCCGGTAAGTAAATAATTGTGTTGAATTTTTCCGGTAAGTGCTTACCAGGTAAGTGTTTAGGTAAATGGCCTCTTAAAGTCTTAAACGTCTTAAAATACTACTTATGCTTCATGTACAACTTAAAAATGCTTCATCCTCCCAAAATCAGATGTGCTGCTTCCCAATGTGCCTCTTCATCTATACTACCTTTTAATACATAAAATCTTAAAAGTTTAAAAGCCAATTGCCACTCCTGTCATACGTCCCAAGGCCCAAGACGACTCCTTCATCTTCCCAAGAACGGTCTCCTTATCATTCCTATTAGACGTTCTTCCTAGACCGGTTCATAAATTCATTTTCCCAAGATGACGATTCAAGCTCCTTATACGACGATTTGCGATTCAAGATCATATAATTCAGTTAGGGTTCACTTATAATCCTTCTTTCTTCTCCTCATTCAATTCTCTATCGCTCATCCATCGTGGGATAACGATTCAAGCTCTGAATTCGATCAATTCAAATCCATCATCTCCATCGCTCCTTCTCAGGTAAGTTTTTGTCGATTTCTCAATCTCAATTTTGATATTTACTTTACTGCATCTTGGTTATGGAATCTTGATCTAGGGTTTCATTTGCCTTGCTTGTGAACTATTTGAGGTCCTTCCAAAGGCGTATGGGTTGCTATACAAGGTAGTTTAACCCCTCAAGGGTTCATTGAAACTATTTTTTCTAGAATCTTCATTGAAGTTCTGTTTTTGAGCTCACCATCAATTTGTTTGTTTCTTGTTTTAGGTTTTTGAGGTACTGATGAAGATCTGAAGAGATCATTGATACTACAGATGTATTATTTTTTTCTTCATTGAACTCCATATGAATGTTCATTTCTTAGATAGAAAGTAGGAAATATGCCATGTTGAGCAACGAACTTGCAGAAAAAGCCCTAAATTGAGGTACAAAATGTTGTTTTTCCACTTGTTCTTCCATTAATTTTGAATGTGTGCAAATTTGATTTGATTTATTAAAAACAGTGTATGCTCACTTATGACAGGCAAATGAAAGGAGAAGATCTCCAAGGACTTGACCTCAAAGGGCTCGACAAGCTAGAGGCTGTGATTGAATCTGGATTGGTTGAAGTAGTTAAAACAAATGTAAGGTGTCTATACATGTTGGCATCTTGTTTAGATTAGCAGCTGGTTAGTTGTTATCATTGGGATTTCTACATTTCCTTGTTTGAATGTGCTTGATGTTCAGGGTGAAAGAATGTTGAAAGAGATCAACACTCTAAAGAAGAAGGTCATGGAGTTGAACTTTTATGTTATTCCAATTTAAAGTTTTATTTAAATATATTTTTGAAGGATCACATACATTTACTGTGATCATCGAAACTTAATTTGAAGACTGTTCAATACAACATACTTGAGTAAAGAATGGGAAAAATACTGCAGTTGTAACTGATAAAAGTATCAACAAATTGTCTTGAAGTTTACATGATAATTTGAGAAAACATGTTAAGCCAAATCAATCCTATAATCTGATCTCTTTTTCAGGTTTGTTGTTGAAAATATTGTGTGTTTGTGGCAACATATCGTTATTCTTCACTTCACCTTTCTTAAATTCATATGACATATGTCTCTATTCCGTTCCCTTCCTTTCTATAAATATTACTGTTTCTCTGTAAATGGACAACACATTAATAGAATATGAACGTTTCTCTCAATATTAAGCTTGGTTTTTAGTGTAGCTTTTGATCCGAGCTTTTGTTATTAACTTTTGATTACATCTTTTATTGTACTACATATGCAGGAATGATCTGAGCTACAATTGTATGTCCTTTAGATGTGATCATGAGCATGTTTTAGAGGTGGATGGCCTTCGACAGCTTATTGGTGGAACCTTTAAAGGCATTCAAACCATGTTTGCACTTAAGTCATGTTATCTTATTCCTATTGAGATTGCTATCTTTTGGTGTTCTGGAAACGGTAAAAAACACGATTACTTAAAATTGCAAATGAACCATGTTTCGACTTGCAATCTTTGCTACAATCTATGGATTTCAAGCATCGTTTCTTGGTTATAGCTAACAGTTTTGAATCTACTTTTTAATTCTTAAACCTTTTGGTTTATATGGTCGTGTAGTCGGTACCTGGAAACATATTTTCTCAAGGAAGAAGGCCTACATGGGATGCAACTTAGGCATGCTTCCACTATTCATGTGACTTTGACAGTAAGTTAAATGGTATGACATACCTTCACATTACTAAAATGTATACTTAACCACATCAATTCAATGTCCAAAATCAAACAGTAATGGAACACTGGCTTTCTATAATCACTGTAAAAGAACATTGAAATTATGATGTTTAATGTTTTAATAAGAATTAGGTTTGGTCCTTTGTTTAATGTTTCTCTTGATTTGCTACCTCAGGTAAGTTACATATAAAGATGAATAATTTCTTATTCTTATCTATACTATATTATAAAACATTTGACAAAAACTCTTAAAACCCATTTTTTATGCATGAAATATTGTTTATTGATGCATATTACTTAAAATTCAAGATTACAAATAAATTTTGCATAACTACAACTTATTAAAGCTCTATGTTTGAATTCATATAACTAACTGTGGATAAACATAATCAAATAGAGGATAAACATCACATTTTAAAATATAAAAAATATACAATATAATTAGGATAATTGTTGAGTTCTAACAGAATACTTAATTATTATCTTTATAAAAAATATTATTAAATCTAAATTAAGTTAATTCATTACGATNTGACATACCTTCACATTACTAAAATGTATACTTAACCACATCAATTCAATGTCCAAAATCAAACAGTAATGGAACACTGGCTTTCTATAATCACTATAAAAGAACATTGAAATTATGATGTTTAATGTTTTAATAAGAATTAGGTTAGGTCCTTTGTTTAATGTTTCTCTTGATTTGCTACCTCAGGTAAGTTACATGTAAAGATGAATAATTTCTTATTCTTATCTATACTATATTATAAAGCATTTGACAAAAACTCTTAAAACCCATTTTTTATGCATGAAATATTGTTTATTGATGCATATTACTTAAAATTCAATATTACAAATAAATTTTGCATAAGTATAACTTATTAAAGCTCTATGTTTGAATTCATATAACTAACTGTGGATAAACATAATCAAATAGAGGATAAACATCACATTTTAAAATATAAAAAAATATAAAATATAATTAGAATAATTGTTGAGTTCTAACATAATACTTAATTATTATCTTTATAAAAAATATTATTAAATCTAAATTAAGTTATTTCGTTACGATAAATTAAATTATAATAAAAAATTTGGATTAAAAAAATACTCAAATAAAAACTTTTAAATAGTTAATTTGATACTAATATTGATATATTTTTTTTTTGCAAAAATCATAATATATTTTTAATTTTATATATTTTATTCAAAAATAAAAGCAGTATCGTTTTCTCAAAACCACATAAAATCGTATTATATCGACATAGATAAAAAATAAAACGAAACATTGAAATCAAAATGTGTCTCGATTCATTACACGAGTACCCTTCAAGTAAAGAATAATATACAAGTTTATATAGTTGAACAATGTGGCTAGGAACATGACTTGCTTTTGGGATCAAAATAAGTTGGAACATGGACTGAAAATGTGATTTCGCTTGATGGATTATTTTTATAATCATCACTGATGGTGCACCAATTGGTTTCTTTTTTCCAGAGTTCATGGATTATTTTGGAGTTGGGCTATTGAATTTACATGTTACGGATGACATTAGGTTTCTTATTGAGGGATGAATCTAATTGGTTCTAACATTTTTATTGTGTATGTAGATTGTTGTTATATGCGAGGCTTGTAATTGTTAAAAAATGCATGACAACGGTGATTTGTTAATTTTTCATTTACACTAAAAACATTTATTAATGTTGAGAATAGTTAAAACTCAACTTCTTGTCATAATCTTTACTTGGTAATTTGAATTCGTATGATGTAGGTAAAAAAACATTCGACAAAGGCCCACAATGCATGTTGTGTTGGATCTTCTCTTGGTGACCTCAAAAGCATAACTGCAGTTATATTTGGTGAACTGTAAGTACTATATGGAAGTGGTTGGCTATGGTTTATCCGATCCAACACTATTAAAGTCTTTTTGTTGCCCCTTACCATCAATGTTAATCCTATGGGTATAACAATTTGGTTGTTTTGTGCAAGGCAAATCGAAGAATACACCCGTCTGATTTGAATATGATGTTTTTGGTGTTACTCACAGGTTTTGTGAAGGACAAGAGAGTTGCTACAACTGCCACCGGAGTAATTCTGTCAAGTTATCGAGTCAAAAACAAGAACCCAAACTTTGAAATATGTTTAGATCAGATTTGTCTATCGATCATAAACGATTGTCTTTTAACTGATTATCTTACTGTGGATTCGTGTCTTATTAGATCTTTGAATTTTGTTTATCTTTTTTAAAGCATTCTCAATACGTCTAAATGATTTTGATTTTGAATTGATTTCGAATGATTTTTTATGTTTTTGATTGATTTTGAAGAATTCTTAGATTTTTTGGTTGATTTCTATTGACTTTTCCGGGTTTTTTGGTTTTTTTTTTTTGGAGTGACTTATTTCGTTTATGTTACTTGTATTGATTAATATCCCAGAACACCCTTTCATACTTTGGTTGACCAGGTGCACAAGACCTCCCTTCGACCTTGATAGGTCTATGCCTGCTATAGACCACATCTTGAAGTTTTATTATTGCACTACGAACAAGACAAATAATTGTTTTTGCCATTGGTTGCAATTTGGAACTAGAACTTTTATTTACTCAAAATGTATTAATATGTAAAGTGACAAGCTTCAAATTCGTTTATATTTTCGATTCCCACTGTTTTGTACGGATACACAACTAGTATATAATCATAAATGTTTTGAAAACCGTAAGAACCAATCTCAATCATTTAAGGATTTTGATCCAATATTATTACAAAATCTTCCAATTTTAATTCATTAGGAATATAAGTAGTTGTGCGCCATTATTCACTTAGCCACTTTGCATCTTTTTTTGGTAGGTTTAAATTTAAAATTTAATAAAACGTATTTTAGTTTTTAATGTTTGTTTAAAAAATAATATTATTAAATAATTTTTGACTCAATTATCAAGCCTTTAATAACATCTCTAACAAAATGAAAATAAGACTAACAAAAAGTAAGAAGATGGTATTAATGGAAACCAAGAAAGGATTTATTAAGAAAAAAATATGATTGGTTGAATTTACACAGTTTATACAAATAATTTGATTTATATTTGATCATCCCCTATATATATAAGAAAAAATAATGATTGGTTGAATGAAGTTTACACGGCTTGTACAAAGGACTTGATCAACCGTCCGTTTAATTTGATGAATATGTAATTTATAGAAGTTTTGATTATTTTCTATTATAAAGTATTAATCATAATTAATGAACCGTATTCATATTCCATAAATATTTAAAATATAATAAATGAACTCTCATCATTTCCATAAATATTTCAATTTATTGGGTTGCATTGGTTGTACAAATGTCATAGGTTGTATTTGAAATAATCTCTCTCTCTATATATATATATGTATGTGTATATATTTTTAAAAGACAATCAAAATATACATTAAATAAACATTTTTGATATAATAGAACTTGAAAGGAGGGTTGATGTTCATATGATTGATGCAAGTAAAAGTGGTAGAAACATTTATTTATTTACAGTATAATACATAATAAGGTTTAAATTGACTCCACTTCATCAGAAACCGTTAACCGAAAATCCTCCATCAACCGCAATTATTTGACCAGTGATGTAAGAAGCAGCTGGTAGACAAAGAAAGGCCACCAGGGACGACACTTCATTTGCTTCTCCAACTCGTTTCATAGGAGTTCTTGATACCACTCGCTCCACAAACTCCTCGTTACTTAGCAACTGCACAAAACAATCRAACAAGTGTWAGATCTAAAATTCAAACCTTACTACATTATGGACTACCAAAATAAGCAGATCTATATCGCTCGTTGACTGGTCAATCAAAATCTTCTTCGACATGGTTTCTTTGTTACTTCACCCAAACTTYGGTCRATGTTTTATGTARGTGTTTATCTAACAAAAGATAACACAAAATGTGAAATATGTTTTCTGTAAGATATGTGAAGTCTATGAGAAACAAACGGAGAGGTGATATTAGGGGAATCATATGCCAAATTGGTGAGAGTTTGGAAGTATTAAATGGCACTACAACAAAACTAGTTTTATACGACATCTAAAATGTCTAAGCGTCCTAATAGAATATACTTTATAGGACCAAACCGAAAAACGTCACATCTAAAAGTGTTGCAATAGGTTTACAATTGCAATAGGTTTATAGGATGCTCTAAGTCGTTTACACAATTTTTAGGACGCTTTTAGAATAAAGTGTTCTATTAGCTATTTTATACAACACTATTTGAAAAAGTGTCCTATAAAAAAATGGTTATAGAATAGGTAATACGACACATTATTTTTAAAGCGTCCTATAAACTTATTGTAACACTTTTAGACACGACACTTTATAGTTTGGTCCTATAAAACTTAGTTTCTATAAAGTACTCTATTAGAACGCTTAGGCATTTTAGACATCCCATAAAACTTTCTCCAAATGAAGGTACTATGGCCAATGTTTAAGCTTTCTCCAAATGGTCCTCAGCAGGTTAGAATGCTTTTATCTCATGTGCTCATGTGGGTCTATGGCCAGTACCAAAACTGTAAGGACCAAGGGCAAGCGAATTTTGAAAAACACCTTTAGTTCCCCAACATAAATCTACTTGAATCATATGTGAGGTGTACAAAAGGCTACACAAGTTGCTCACAACCCTTGGGGACATCATGTTTTTCTTGAAAAGTACCTAGTTAGGTAGTGTATGGTGTCAAAGAGGGGGACCCCCCCCCACCCCAAACCCCAACCCAAGCATGATTTTTCCCCTTAAAACCCCATTAGCAAAAATCATTTTTTGCTTCAATTTGAATATAAACTTGGATTAGCATGAGGCTAATAGAACAAAATTAAGTGTGTATGCTTCTAACTAATAAGTCATGCCACATCGGTCTTTCTAGAAAGCTAGAAGTTAATGGGTGAACTACAGATCAATAAGCCTTAGTAGATTTGTACTCACATGCTACTATGCTAGCAAGCACAATCAGCTTGTAACAGCTATATTGCATTTGGTAAGTGAAAAAATCTGGTAAAGTAGAAGAAGAAAAATTCAAGTGATGATAGAGAGAGGAGGAGAGGAGATGAAAGCATATTACATGTTTGACAAGCGAAGTTCTCGTGTACCATGGTGCTACACCATTAGTCCGAATGTTGTCTTTTGCCCATTCACATGCTAAATTCTTTGTAAGCTGATTAATTGCACCTGTGGATGGAGTACGGAAGTTAAGACCCCCTTGCCCTTGGAAACTATACTCTTACATAACACCAAATAGGAAAAAACATACCTTTAGTGGCTCCATAGATAGACATAGAAGAAATGTGGATCGAACCTGCAACAGAGGAAATGAACACAATGCTTCCAACTCCAGAAGCCTTTAGAAGAGGATGTGCAAGTTGACACATATGGTAGCAAGATTCCAAATTGGTAGCCATGAGCATAGAATACTCTTCAGCAGTAAACTCGATAGCAGGTTTCCTAATGTTCGTCCCAACATTGTTTATCTACAGGAAATAACTCTATGGAAGTAAGTCTTCTGGGAAAATGTGATAGTTACTGAAATCATTTTGAGAAACCTAWGAGAACCATAGAACCCAGTCTCCCTCTCCTTCCCCCGCCGCCTTCCGACCCGCGGGAGTATACAATGACAACTTCCGGACACTCATGCCCGATCGTTATTGCATAGACATAACAAGAAAACTTTGGCCGTTGGAAACAAATCTTAGTTAGGTGTTTATATTTGTAAAAAGCAAGTCATCGTGTTTGAAATGCAAAGGTTTTTCCAACATAATATAATAAAAATGGTATAAGTATTAATCAAAGATCTAAAATCTTCCTCAATAAAGCTTAAGGGAATAAAGAAAACTTAACCACAAGAAACAGTGGGGAAAATATATTATTTGTGAACATCCTGCAAAAGAAAATATTGCATTCTTAGSGGCCGTTTACCCAAATGCTCACTCACTAAGCGCTAGTAGGAATCAACATTATAATTTATTTTTATCTAATAMGATTGTAGTACATCAAAAACGGTATCCTATGCAACAATTTACTAGGTAAGCGCTTATTTGGGTAAGAGTCTCCATTCTTACAATCGCTCTTGCAAGGTAAGATTCTTGACCTTTGCCATGTTCATCCGATGAGGAATACTTACCGGATAAGYGTTCAGTAAACTAAACGGCCCCTTAATCTAAAAATAGAAGTGTTTCACAACTTTCTTTGGGAAGGATGGAGTAGTACATACTCGCATAGAAAACAAATAAGTAGTAGAACTACTGGCATAGGAATTAGGACTGGACATTAGCTTCTAAAGGTATAGGTCATAGGTCTGATTTACGTTGCAGAGCACAAGCAATTTGTGTGATAACATTTCACCAAAGTTATATAACGTACATCGACCAATATTCTGATGGAGAACATCCTGTTCAATTCTTCTTTAGAAACACCAACAAACTGGTTTCACTACATTGGGAGTTTCAGCATAATAATTAGCCATATAAAATTTCTTATCATTACTGTACCAATAGCATTAGGGTCCTAAATCACAATTTGGTACCTCAAATCTCAATAAATTACCCAATTTATCAGTTTCTCAGAAAATAATGGAACAACTACTAGAAAGATTAAGCTCGATAAGTCGGGTTTGATTTACAAATGAACTTAGCAAGTAAAAACGTCCTAACAAAATCTGAACAACTTACTAGGATGTTGAGCTTTCCATTGAAGATAGATGAGACTTTTTGTAGAAGCTGCTCGCGTTGAGGACGAGAGGTTGCGTCACAGACGGATCCGGTGATGGTAAGGCCTTTGGCAGACCATTCCAGTAAGCGTTGGTTAAGCTCAGCCTCATTGCGAGAGCAAGTATGAACCGCCGCCCCCATCTCCGCCAATTCCTCCACCACAGCATAGCCGATCCCACGTGTACCACCGGTGACGAGAGCAGTCATTCCAGCTAGAGACCATCTGGAATTTCTAGTTGCAGAACCGGTCTCCGCCGCCGCCGTCGTCGTCATTTTCTGGGGCTCTTTTTGCTACTCTGCCACGACCGCCAAGCAAGTGTTTGTTCCATTGTTAAACTAACAATATATTTAACCACAATCTCACCAAAAATTAGTGTTGCTTTGACATTGTTTGTAAAAACAATTTATTTACTTATTTTGATATGACATCGATAATAAATTATATTTAAATAAATAATTTATACCGTTAATTATCATTTTATCCCCTTTTTCCTGTTAATTATCAAACATAAAAAACTTTTATAAAAGTCAGTTATCTCGAAAATAATTTTGAGAGACGAGTTTTTATTTGATAGAGTTGATGAAAATATGATATGACGAATATAAAAAGTCAATGTATAACTTATACATTTCGAATACGCGAAACAAGAAGATATTTATTTTATTGTTGTCCGCTTTTTTATACCCATCTTTTTCATTTCTTTTTCATTTTTCTATTAATTAACGGGTTAAATACATGAAATAGCAACCTACTTTTATAAATTTTTTTATTATAGTATTCTACTTTTGTATTATTATAGATCTGAAGAGATCATTGATACTATAGATGTATTATTTTTTTCTTCATTGAACTCCATATGAATGTTCATTTCTTAGATAGAAAGTAGGAAATATGCCATGTTGAGCAACGAACTTGCAGAAAAAGCCCTAAATTGAGGTACAAAATGTTGTTTTTCCACTTGTTCTTCCATTAATTTTGAATGTGTGCAAATTTGATTTGATTTATTAAAAACAGTGTATGCTCACTTATGACAGGCAAATGAAAGGAGAAGATCTCCAAGGACTTGACCTCAAAGGGCTCGACAAGCTAGAGGCTGTGATTGAATCTGGATTGGTTGAAGTAGTTAAAACAAAGGTAAGGTGTATGTACATGTTGGCATCCTGTTTAGATTAGCAGCTGGTTAGTTGTTATCATTGGGATTTCTACATTTCCTTGTTTGAATGTGCTTGATGTTCAGGGTGAAAGAATGTTGAAAGAGGTAACACTCTAAAGAAGAAGGTCATGGAGTTGAACTTTTATGTTATTCCAATTTATAGTTTTATTTAAATATATTTTTGAAGGATCACATACATTTACTGTGATCATCGAAACTTAATTTGAAGACTGTTCAATACAACATACTTGAGTAAAGAATGGGAAAAATATTGCAGTTGTAACTGATAAAAGTATCAACAAATTGTCTTGAAGTTTACATGATAATTTGAGAAAACATGTTAAGCCAAATCTATCCTATAATCTGATCTCTTTTTCAAGTTTGTTGTTGAAAATATTGTGTGTTTGTGGCAACATATCGTTATTCTTCACTTCACCTTTCTTAAATTCATATGACCTATGTCTCTATTCCATTCCCTTCCTTTCTATAAATATTACTGTTTCTCTGTAAATGGACAACACATTAATAGAAKATGAACGTTTCTCTCAATWTTAAGCTTGGTTTTTAGTGTAGCTTCTGATCCGAGCTTTTGTTATTAACTTTTGATTACATCTTTTATTGTACTACATATGCAGGAATGATCTGAGCTACAATTGTATGTCCTTTAGATGTGATCATGAGCATGTTTTAGAGGTGGATGACCTTCGACAGCTTATTGGTGGAACCTTTAAAGGTATTCAAACCATGTTTCCACTCAAGTCATTTTATCTTATTCCTATTGAGATTGCTATCTTTTGGTGTTCTGGAAACGATAAAAAACACGATTACTTAAAATTGCAAATGAACCATGTTTCGACTTGCAATCTTTGCTACAATCTATGGATTTCAAGCATCTTTTCTTGGTTATAGCTAACAGTTTTGAATCTACTTGTTAATTCTTAAACCTTTTGGTTTATATGGTCGTGTAGTCGGTACCTGGAAACATATTTTCTCAAGGAAGAAGGCCTACACGGGATGCAACTTAGGCATGCTTCCACTATTCATGTGACTTTGATAGTAAGTTAAATGGTATGACATACCTTCACATTACTAAAATGTATACTTAACCACATCAATTCAATGTCCAAAATCAAACAGTAATGGAACACTGGCTTTCTATAATCACTATAAAAGAACATTGAAATTATGATGTTTAATGTTTTAATAAGAATTAGGTTAGGTCCTTTGTTTAATGTTTCTCTTGATTTGCTACCTCAGGTAAGTTACATGTAAAGATGAATAATTTCTTATTCTTATCTATACTATATTATAAAGCATTTGACAAAAACTCTTAAAACCCATTTTTTATGCATGAAATATTGTTTATTGATGCATATTACTTAAAATTCAATATTACAAATAAATTTTGCATAAGTATAACTTATTAAAGCTCTATGTTTGAATTCATATAACTAACTGTGGATAAACATAATCAAATAGAGGATAAACATCACATTTTAAAATATAAAAAAATATAAAATATAATTAGAATAATTGTTGAGTTCTAACATAATACTTAATTATTATCTTTATAAAAAATATTATTAAATCTAAATTAAGTTATTTCGTTACGATAAATTAAATTATAATAAAAAATTTGGATTAAAAAAATACTCAAATAAAAACTTTTAAATAGTTAATTTGATACTAATATTGATATATTTTTTTTGCAAAAATCATAATATATTTTTAATTTTATATATTTTATTCAAAAATAAAAGCAGTATCATTTTCTCAAAACCACATAAAATCGTATTATATCGACATAGATAAAAAATAAAATGAAACATTGAAATCAAAATGTGTCTCGATTCATTACACGAGTACCCTTCTAGTAAAGAATAATATACATGTATATATAGTTGAACAATGTGGCTAGGAAACATGACTTGCTTTTGGGATCAAGAAAAGTAGGAACATGAACTGAAAATGTGATTTCGCTTGATGGATTATTTTTATAATCATCGCTTATGGTGCACCAATTGGTTTCTTTTTTCCTGAGTTCATGGATTATTTTGGAGTTGGGCTATTGAATTTACATGTTACGGATGACATTAGGCTTCTTATTGAGGGATGAATCTAATTGGTTCTAACATTTTTATTGTGTATGTAGATTGTTGCTATATGCGAGGCTTGTAATTGTTAAAAAAATGCATGACAACGGTGATTTGTTAATTTTTCATTTACACTAAAAACGTTTATTAATGTTGAGAATAGTTAAAACTCAACTTCTTGTCATAATCTTTACTTGGTAATTTGAATTCGTATGGTGTAGGTAAAAAAAACATTTGACAAAGGTCCACAATGCATGTTGTGTTGGATCTTCTCTTGGTAACCTTAAAAGCATAATTGCAGTTATATTTGGTAAATTGTAAGTATTATATGGAAGTGGTTGGCTATGATTTATCCGATCCAACACTATTAAAGTCTTTTGTTGCTCCTTACCAACATAAAATTTAAAAAAAAAGTGATCATGTTTTTGAAAAATATCGATATCAGTATTAAATTATTTTTTTTAAAAGTTTTTGTGTTTTGGTGTAATTTCCTTAATTAAATTCTGTTAGTTATCAATGATTATCATAATTATATTTTTGATTTTTTATATTTAAAATGAGATATTTATCCAATATTTGATTATGTTTATCT